CTAGCTCGGGTCGATAGCAATAGCGTAGAAGTAGAATTTATAACCTATCTTCTTCGAGGTTAACTTCCGCTTTATTACTTCCTTCTAGGTACGCTTGTCTAGTAAGCCGAAGTAACTATATACCTAGCGGTAGCGATATTTAATACTATTCTTATTCTTCTACGGCTTATACTACTTAAACTCGTATCTAGTCGCCTTTCCGAAGGTATAGACATACGACTTAAGAGCTCGATAAGATAGAAACTACGACTCGCGCGGTATTAGACTATAAGAGCGCTCCTTTAGTAAGAATAGGTGCTTCTAAGGTCGTAGCGATACTAACCTATTATTAGACAAAGCGACACGCTCGTAAGGCAGGCTTAGTAAGTAATAGCGACCTCGAATACGCGTCTCTAAGACAAATCGGACCTCTTTACCTTTAATACCTTTAATACCTTTAATACCTTTAACACCGTCTACCGCTAAGAGCGCGCCTTCGTCTACCGCCGAGAGCGCGCCTTCGATACTATCTATAATACCGTCTATAACACCGTCTACTACTACCTTCGCTACCTCTACCGCCTCCGCTGCCTCTACTACTTCCGCTGCCTCTACTACGCTACTAGCGATAAGATTATCGAGAAACTCTTCGTATAATAGAGATTTAGCTATTTTCGATAGTTGCTAGGCAATCTACTATAAAAGGGGGAAGGAATACGAATTTTAGGTATATAGTAGATTCGAGTAGAATTCCTTCCTAGGTAACGCGCTACGCGCCCGTTAATAATACTAACTAAGAACGGAAATAGCCTGTATTAGGTAGACAGGGCACGTAATTCTATACAAAGCCGATTCTACAATAGTGCTAGCACCGGGTTATGCTAGGGCTCGGGCGGGTAGCTAGGGCTCGGTTTAGTCTCGAGGCATAACACAACTCGAGCAGAATTAGCACTTGTGCGGCACCTCTGCGGATCCTACGGTTCCTACCTTATCCGAAGTCCTTCGAGCTTAATCCTAGACTAGTAAATTCCGAGCTTTTAATGAAACTAAATGCCTGCTACTAGCGCCGTCACAATGCCTGCTACTATATAGGACTATAGAAGAAAGGGAGATTTATACAGGTTACGCGTATAGGGCATAAGTCGTAGTAGGTAATGTCTGTGTCTAAGTCTACTTATATAGGTGGCTTATAGGTGATTTAACAGGTAGCACCTGTAACAGGTAGCACCTGCTATCTCTATACTAGGCGGAAATAGGTAGTACCTATACTACCCTAATTAACAGCCTATTACAAACATACTCCTCTAAATGCCTAAGGTCTAAGTCTCTCTAACTACTATTCCTTTTCTTACTAGTATGCCCTTCTCTATTTACATTTTAGGTAGCACTAGTTAGGTAGCACCTGTCGAGGGGCTTTATTAACAGTATAGGGTATAGCTGTCGGCTAGCGACCTATAGATAAGGGAAAGGGACTTAGGTAAGTCCTATAAGGCTGATATGTAGGCTTAATAATATAGGTTAGCGATAGGTGATTCGACCTAGATTTTACCTATATAGGTGATTTGATTACCTATATAATGCTAATAGTAAGATGTATATAAGGTTCTTAGCGACGGGAGGCATAAGCTAGACAGCCAATATCGTCTACTAAACGTCCTATATAGCTAGCGAGATAGTTCTTAATACGCGTAACCTCTGCCTAGTAGGTAACACTCTGATTCTGGTTAGCTAGTAAGGCAAGCCTATTAAAGCAGTTCTGGATTACTAAACTCTCGTTTAGCGCGGCTACTAGTATAGGGTCGTTCTACACGAGGGAGCGGAACGCTTTATATATATATAGTAAGGCTGTATTTGCTAGATTAGCGGTGCTAACTAGAGGGCCGTTTCGCACGGGGTAGGATGTCTTAGTAGGCGTGCTATATAGTTTGCTAGTTCGCGTAGAGCTGCGAGAGGTGTATATAGTAGCAGGCGAAGTTAGCAACCGCTTTACGTAATCGTCGGCAGTCTAGGTAGCTAGGGTACGTTAACCTAATCTACCTCCGGAGCTAGCTATACGTAGAGTTCCCTTATTGTTCTTAGGCATCTTACTAGGCGTTAGTCCGCTAACGGCTCGAGCACCTATAGACTGCAGTCCTCGGTTGCGAGTAGCAAGGATCTTAGTTAGAGTAGGCACATCTACCGCCTCCTCTAGGCCTCTATATTCAACTGCTAAGCTATACAGTACTAGCTAGTTGTCCTCGTGCTGTCCTAGAAGCGCCTCTGCCTAGGGGAGATCTCTAGCTGCCTATAGGTTATATATAGCCCCTAACTCGCTAAGCTAATCAATTGCCTTCGCCTAATTATATACGCGCAAAAGCTACTGCACTTCTTCTATTATTAGAGGGTCGGTGATATTCTACGTCTTGTTAGCAGGCACTAGAGTCTTCGAAATGTTAGTATACTTTCGGATCTTAGTAAGGGTATCGAATAGGCCTCCGCGTCGAGTAGTTCCGCTAAACGTACCTAGAGAGCTAGCGCTCGCAGGTATATTAGAGACCGGCGTAGTTAGAAGTCCTCGGTTCCCTAAAGGCCTAATAGGTGTTGCTATAGGCGTGCTTAGGCGGAGCCCTATAAGGCCTATAACCTGCCGCGCTAGCAGCGGAACTTGTATACCGTTAGGAAGGATCTTAGTAAAGTCGTAGCGGGCCGAGGCTAGGTAGCGGAATGCATTCAATCGCCCTATATTCTATAGAAGGTAGTCGATCTCCGTATAGTCTATAGCCCCTAGCTCCTTCTCCTCTAGGTACTCGGTTATTAGTGTACTACGGTAAGTGGCATTTAGGTTTGCCGCAATAATACGGGCCTCTATAGCTATAGGCTATTAGAATAGGCCTATATCCGCCCGATAGGATAGTAACAAGAGTGTATAGGTATCGCTATTAAATCGCGCTAGGCAGTGTTGTAAGATAATAGCATTTATTAGGGCTATACTATGCCGGAGCACCTTAATTAGGAATGCGTCGTCTACCGGAAAACCCAAAGGTAACAACTAGTCTCGTAGGTACTCTAGGACAGTTAGCGGAGAATAGTGTAGTAGATTCTATACTACCTTATCTCTAGCTAGGGTAGAAGTAAGGCGGACGTAATTGAATAGCACTCCTATACTAGGTAGCGGTAGTAGTAGCTCGTTAGTATAGCGCGCTATATGCTTAAGGTTCGTAGCCGCCTTAGTCTCCTCTAGGCCTCTATTAAATCCTTAAAGGGCACGTAGGTAGTCGTCTACTAGTCTAATATCCTCGTCGCTTTCTACCGTAAGGTCGACTACATCGTTAGCATCGGTACCTATAGAGGAGTAGCGTAGCTGGTTCTTGCTAAGTAGGTAACTATTCTAGCAGTGTAAGAACTACTATTGTTCCGTTAAGGTAGTATATAGATTGAAGCGGATAATCGGCTTTCGAACGTTCTCGATATATAGTACGTTTGCGTTATACTAAGTAGTAAAGTTGAGGTACGAGTTAGCAGCATTGCTTATAAAGCGGAAGATAGCGGCTACTAGATTGTCTATATAGGTAGTTAGCACCTACTCTCCTATAGTCGGAGTCTATCCGTAGCTATAGTCTACTCCTCTAGGCTTTAGGATAACAAGCTGTTTAGCGTACCGTATATAAGCGTATAGTTCGTTAACTGTTCCGGCGAAGTTCTAATAGTACTACATAGACTAGTAAAGCACGGTATAATAATCTTCTAGATAGTTAGGGATAGCGGCGGCAGGATCTAGCTCGTATTCTAACTAGCCGACGTAGTATTGCTGCTTCTTTGGTCCTATCTGTGAATTATTAAACCGAAAGGGAGGCATCTTCTAACCGTAGGAGAGTCCTTCGTTAAGGTAATAAACGTGTGATTCTTTACGGAAGACCTATAGCTTACTATAGGTCTCGGCGAGGGAAGCAACTAGCTAATAGTCACCCTTCTCGAATGCATTCGTATAAGCCTTGCGACGCTAATCTACCCGCTTACGAAGGGCGTGCCGCTCCTCCTTACTTAACTAGAAGGAGAGCCGAGAGACGTAGGTACCCTAAATGCTCTTAGTACGGATTTGATTATTTGATTTATTCTTCTAAGCCTATGCCGGGAAGCCTGCTATTAGAACGCTAACTAGGTTATTTGCGCTGCCTTTAGTAAAATGAGGTAGTCTGCTACGTAGGAGCTCGCGTAGCTAGTTACAGACGCTAATATACTCGCCGCGAAGTATAGTCTCGTTAGCCTTATAGAATACGCTAATAGTAGGGGTTACCTATAGATATAACTTATTGTTCTAAAGGGCGGTCTATTGCAGGTAGAAGGGGTTGGTCTGTAGTTGCGTACGCGTATATGCCTAGTAGCGTAGGCTAGGATCCTTGCCTATACTAGGCGGAAAGGGGCTAGCTATACTTATCTAGTTAGCGAGCGTAATCTATATCCGCTTACCTCGCTCTCCTAAACTACCTATTAGTCTACCTATCGCGGTGTTACCTCTATCTGCTAGGTACACCGGACGTGTTCCTATAGGCTCTCGTCCTGTTAGCTAGGCTAGGGCGCGCTAAAAAGGCATTGTACGCACGGGTAGCTAGGTATTATCGGCGTTCTTTAGTGCAGGTAAAGCAGAGGGTAGGTAATATAAGATTGCGATAGGAGTGTCGTAAGCGGCTATACGTCTTATTACCCCTATATTGAAGTTATCCTATTCTACTATAATACCGGTTATCTTCTAAGGGCAGTTAGTAATCCTGCTCGAGCGCGCTCGGAACTGAACCTGTCTAAGCACTAGGTTAATCGGACTATAAACAAGTGCTATCTATAAGAGCGAACGATTATTGTAATAGTATAAATGCGCAGTGTTTGCTATATTAGCGTCCTAGTTTAGGCGTACGGGTAGCTAATTCACCCCTCCGGTTAGCAGCGTCTACACTGTCTAACGACTATTAAGCTAAACTATTGCCGTAGCTAATAGTGTATATTTGACTTATAGGAAAACGCGCATAGTATTGTAAAACTCAGACACCTTAGTCTAGCGTGCCGCCTCGAAACATGCGCCGAAATGAATATATAGCGCTTCGTAGAGGACAGTAGGTAGAATACGGAGATTGTCGACTACGATAGGTTATCTATTATCGCGCGAGAGGAATTCCGGTATTTCTAGGTATTGTCTATCCTTTAAGACTGCAACGAAGGTAATATAGTACGTATTATATAGATATCTATTTCGGAAGAGGTCCTCGAGGTTTAGGTAGCGATATCCTCTACGTAACGGAGTGCCGCTACCTCCTAGGTCCGACTCGAGACTAGAAATAATAGGGGCCGCTATATCTTAGTCGACTAATAGGCCGCGCGTAGGTAATTCGAAACGGAGGGGCGCGCGCGCGCAAGGTATAAGATAGTTAGATACTTAACTAAGAGTGTGCTTACGATGCTATATATATAGCTGTATTAGTAGGTAGGAAGTCGGTAGAAAACTTTTTATATCCGGCTAGCTAGTAAAGCCGCAACTCGTTACGCTTGCGGTTAGTAACGTAACCGCATAGTAACAACAACAACAATAGTAGGCTAATCAACGCCGAGCATTGAAGTAACCTATTTCTTAATTACCTTATACTCTATAAATGGCCTATTTACCTATGCGTTACCTATCGGCTACCTATGCGCAAAGCGCAGGTGCCTTAGGAATTGGCCGCTAACGGGCTGCCCTAATAAGCTGATATTCCGGTATTTGTACTTCCTTAGGGGGAATAAGATATCCCTATCGAGGTTTGAATAGTCGCAGATAGTCCCCGTAGAAGTAGCTAGAAATCGCCTTGCCGTTAAGCTATCTTAGAGTGTATAACCTTTAGTGCTTACCTCTATACCCTATTACAACAAAGGGACTACGAAACGACGGGCTTAGCTTCTTCCGCTTCCCTTTATTAGAGGTGTCTTTAAGGAAAACTGCCTGTCTAGGATAAAAGGTTTCTCCTAAGACCCCCTTATTATATCGAGTCTTTTAGCGGTCCCTCCGGAGGTAATCCTTCTTAATAACTAGGTCTTTCAATTCTTACTAATCTGCTAAATACTAGAATGCGATCGCGGCTATGTCGTCCTCGTCTAGAATATTAAATTCTCCTTTAAGCTACTCTATAATCGCTTAGGTAGGCTAGGTCGGAAGAGTCTATTCTACCGGTTCTATATTCGACGCTGTACTTCCGTACGCTATCTTATACGGAGTATGCCCTAGATAATCGATGTATCTCGCATTGATATTCTTTACTACCGGTTGTAGGCGCAAATCCTAATCCCGCTAGTCGGCAGAGTACTCCCTACTAGCAGATACTAGGTATAGCGATGCCGACTTTATTAAGGCCCTTTATAGGAGATTATTTGCCTTCTTAATTATTCCTACGGCCCTTAATATACCTATTAGGGCGAAGGTAATATATATACCTTACTATAAGCAGAAATCCTTTACCTCTTAGGCAATATAATGCTTACTAGGGTCGTAGAAGATTGCTGCTATCGCCGGAAGTCGTTTTAGGTAGCTCTTTAATGCACCTATAGTATCGCCGGGTTTGTAAGTAAGAGCCGCCTTCGCGAAGGAAAACCTGTTAAAGTAGTCGATAAGATATAGGATATATCTGTTCCCTCTTATAGACGGCGGTAAGGGGCTAATCCAGTCTATCCTAAATAGCTTCTAAGGCCCGAGGACCTCTACTAGCATTTACGGCTAGCTTCGGCTTCTGTTTGTATACCTTGCGTATTAGATGCATCCTTAGATATAAGCTCGTATATCGGACGCTATGTTAGGCTAGTAAAACTTCTTCCGGAGTTTGTCTAAGACGATTTTCGATGCGAAGTGTCCTTGTTCATTATGCACACCTTACAAGATTATACCGGTCTTAGAGGGTAGAAGGCAGACGGTCTATAGCGCCTTTCTAGAGCTACGATAAAGCAACCTACTATATTTCTTATTATATCGGTAATGCGTCGCTTCCCTCTTAAACGCGGCCCTCTTTAATAAGTCTAGGAATAGCAATTCGAAGGTGCGGTAGTAGTAGTAGATGTCTTTGTACTATACGCAATCCCGGATAGAGGAGTTTAGCATTACCTACCCTTCTACCTATGCCGAAAAAGAGGTCTAGCCTACTAGACCTTTATCTAAGCCTAACTTATTATACGTAGAACGCATGCTATAAGCCGCGTACGACTTCGCTATCTTCGAGCTCAACCGTCTAAGCGTGTCCTAATATCCGCCTTTCCCTAATTTCTAGAACTATTTATTATTATAGGCATACTCCTCTACCTGTTTCGCTAGATCTTTTACTAGTAGAGTCTCCGGGCAATTAGATTCAAAGATTGTGCGCGATAAGCTATCCGCCGTAGCGTTGCGTTTGCCCTTAATCTATTTAATACGGACGTTAAGCATCCGAAGTTTCTAGACCTATCTAAAGAATATGTCCTCGTGTGTATCCGCATTTAGGAATCCTGCTAGTAGCTTCTAATCTGTTAGGATGACCGATGTTTCTACTATATCTAGTATATGCTTAAACTTTATCGCGAAGCGGAAAATAGCTAGGAGCTTACGCTTATACGTGTTATAATTTCGCTCGGTCTTGTTAAACTAGAAGGAGTTATACTATATCGGCCTCTCTTCTCTATCTTAGATCTAAGAGATGTAATAGCTAGCTTTAGTGCCCGACGCGTCCGAGTATATCCTTATAGACTTATTAGGTATCCTGCTAAACATCTATACCTTCGTAATACATAGCTTCTTTAATAACCGGAAGGACAGGTCCTACACTAGCCCCTATGTCTAGTCTTTCTTTCTAGTTAGGCTCGTAAGGGGGAGCGCGATATTAGAGAAATTAAGTACCTATTTACGTATAGTACCTACAGTCCCTAGGAATGCTCTAACCGCTAATACATCTGTCGGGATAGGCTACTCGCGAATCCGCTAGATACGGGCGTTATTGATTGTTACCGCGCCTCCGGCGGTAATTACCTAACCTAAGGCCTTTACCTTCCGGTAGAATAGGTAGAGCTTCGCAGGTGCTAGCTTTAGCTTAGCCTAGAGCAGGCGCGGCAGAACATAGTCGCGGAGGTAGCTAAATAATAATACAAAAGCCTCTATATTATTCGCTCCTTAGTGTGCCGTAAAACAATTATCTATATAGGCGATAGCCTTCTCCTTATCGGATTCTCTAAAACTATAGCGTAATGCTAGCTCCGGATTGGGCTCCGGAATCGGCCCTAGTATAATGCTTATAAGCTCCGTTATCGTAAACGAGGAGGACCTGCATCCTAAGGCATTCTCTAGGCTAGAACTGTCCCAATCCGGGAATAGTAAATGCTAGGATATGTCGGTCGTCTAGATAAACCGGAACTAACTAGTATGCATACTTAATATTAAATTGGCAAAATACCTTATGCGATAGATCGGATAGGAACTTATAGACTCTGTTAATAAGTTCTATATAGTTCCTATAGCCTTCTTCGAAAACGTAATAGTAATTGAAGGTAAGACGGGGCTATTCCTGCCCCTTCTTTAGCACTAACATAGGAGTAGCATTCTATAGCGAAATCCGACTATTCGCACTAGTAGTACGCTCGTACATCCTAGCATCGATTCCTTCCTAGATAATCCGCCGTAGCTACTATTCCTTATATCCTAAGAGGCGTCTCTGCTTTGTAGAATATACGATAGAACCCTCCTTTAGGCGAATACGATGCTTAATAAGGCGGGTAGGAGGAATCTGCTTTAGCTCGGTCGCAAAGACATCCGCATATACCTAAAGTACCTTAAGAACCTCTAGCTCCTAGTGTTCATCTAGTATTATATCTCCGAGTTAGAATCCTTCCTATCTAGCCTAGGTATACAGGTTTTCCTTACTTAGTACCTTAGAGATATCTCGCCTTATAACTCTCCTGTTTATAGGAAAAGGCTATCGTGCTAACCCTTAACGCTTAGCCGATACGCTATAGAAGGCATAAATAGATTCCGGATCTAGCCTCGGGTATCGGATGTAATAAAATCGTGTTCTATATCGGTAGGCTGCCTGCTGCCGATAGTTGGCAGGGTTAGTCTACTAGAAATACCTACTATAATAATTGCTCGCAGCTATAAGTACATCGTCCGGAAATTGGTTTAAAGTAGCCGGAGGGCTTCCTACCGGTTCCCCGCTATCTTGTATAGGTGGCACCTATATTGTAATAGGTAATGTTATTGCGATAGGTAATTTTATAGGTAATTCGGCGTTAGGTAATTTCATCTTCACCCGAGTCGTAAGCCCTTTTAGGTCCTACTTAGGACCTTTTAAAAATCCCCTTGTCTATTTTCCTTGCCCGGCAGATCCTAGACAAAGGTAATATGTGTACGTTTCTTCTTAGCCGGACTCGCGCGGCCCGATCTAGGATCTGTAGCGACGCTCTTAGTATAAGATTTATACCCCGATAAGTCCGAGGAGTCCTCCTCCGAGCTAGAAACCTTAGAGTTACTATCCGATATATCGAGGTCCTTCGTTACCTCTAGAATGTGTATCTCCGGAATCTACTAACGCTATACAACTACCTACTCTAAGGTAGGTCTAGTAAGGGTTACCCTCTGCTCTCTACGCTTCCGATCGCTAATCTTTAGGTGCCCCCTAAAGATATTGAAGTTAGCCTTTATAGAGTAGAGCTAAGGCAACCCTAACAATAGGGCTAGTATATTCCGCCGGTATACCTCTTAGCTAGCGTCGGGCTTAGGTGCAATAACGGCCTAGATTCTTCTAGATAGACCTTCTATACATATATTAAAGACAGTAAAGTATATAAGCTCTACCGAGGTCCCGCTCGTAACCGTTATCTATAGTCGTCGATAGTCTACCGCCTTAAGGTCCTTTAATTCTAAGTAGAGTTTCCTTACTAGGATAGGATAGACGACGTTAAGGTCTAAGCCTTAGTCTGTATACGTGAACTTATACGGGATAGTAATCTCTCCTTCTCCGTCGACCTTCCGGACCTTCGCTTCTATAGAGAAGGATTTGCTATCTTTACTAAGAAAATTCCTTATATTGCTCTCGACTTCCCGTCGGTCTATCTCGCTAGTATTAGGTTGTACCGATGCCTTGTTTACCTATACTGTTATAGGTGCGGTCGGCTCTAACGGCCGGTCCTGTTTCTTATAGCGTCTCTCTTTTCGCGGCGGTTTTATAAGCATAGACGTAGCATTACGGAATGCTAGCGACTATTATAGCAGTTCTAAGGGGTTGACGGTTATTTAGGCTTTCTTCTACAACTCGATAGCGGCAAGGGGTTTATCCTAATCAAGATATGCCTAGATCTTCGTAAGGTCCTTCTTTGACTTACGCTTCGCCTTCTATAGGGCACTCTAGTACGGCGGGACAAACCCGGTAGGTAGTAGTAGCCTAGCGTCTAGTATATCCTTATCGTAATTAAGAAAATCCTAGATTTGTATAGGCTTCCGGACCCTCTCGGGAGGCTATAGAGGGTTGATACGGTTGTTATTCCTAGTATCCGACCTAATCGTAGGTATTACCTACTTCTCTAAGGACGGCTCGTCCTCTTTACTTACAGCTCCTAATATCGAGATTATATCTAGGCACGACATCGTTCTATCGGCTTCTTCTATATATACTGCGCTAAAGTGCCCGGATAGGTAGTAGTCGCCCTTAGAGGCAGGCGTTAGTAGGTATAGGGCATATAGGCTATTATTACTATCTTCCGTAATCTCTTCGACTCTAGCTAAGCGAGAGCCTAGGGTAACGTTGTTAGCTCCGCTCGCAGGTGCTAGCCGTTGCTTATTTAGAGGACTACGATCCTTAAACACAATTTCCTTTAGGGCTTGCTACTCGTTATAGGAAAGCTTTCTATATCTATTTAGGTACGGTAGTCCTTTCTCTAGCCGATATCCTAGGTGTCTATAGGCAATGTATAACAATCTATCTCTCCGGTTATACTAGCGGCTGCTATTTACAAACTTATTAGAGGATTGCTTTAGGTCGAACGTTAGATTAGCTTCTCGGCGGGGTGCTAGGGAAGGGGCTAGTATAGCTACGGCTCGAGTTGGCTCTAAGATACCTGCTATCGCATTTGTTCGGGCGCCCGATAGTAGATTCCGGCTAGAGCGGTTATTAGCGCGAGGATCTTTTAGGTGCAGGGTAAGGCCTAGCCTATTTGCTAGCTGTTCTAGCTTATCTACCGTTATTTTACTAGTCGCTCGGACTGCTACCTCTACCGACTTTGGCTTGAATTTATCTAGGGGGTCTACCTCCTTCTATAAGAGTTCCCGAAACTAGGTTAACAAGTGCTACTTAGATACTAGCAACCGCAGGCCATCGTTCTTGTCTCTAGTTATAATAGGCATTAACTTATCTACTAGTTTAATACGCTTCTTGTTCCGCATCCTCTCTTTAGCCTTATCCTTAATTCTTAACCTTCTCCTAGTAGCTTTAGCGTACTTAAGAGCACCCTTTAATAACTTCGTAGTAGACGATATATATTTAAGGCTCCGTAATATTAGTAAAGGATTCTCTCTAATCCCCTTTAAGAAGGAATCTACCGTTAGGATAAGCAGGCTCTATATAGTAGGCTCTATCTCTCGGTCGGTCGTACGGTCTATACCGCTAGCGGTAACTAGCAGGTTACTAGCTCGCCTATAGTACGTTACTAGGGACTCTCCCGCTTCCTACTCTAGCTCTTAGATTTGTAGAATAGTATTAGGGATATCTTCCGTATTAGCTTTAGTGAAATGATCTAGGAAGAGCCTCTTAAATATAGCGATATCCTTATCCTTTGCCGTCTTTACGAAGCTAGGGGCTAACAATTTCTTAACTAGGGCATTCTTGTTAGCCTAAACCGATGCCTTACTCTCGAGGTAGATATCGATAGTAGTTAGGTAATGCTTAGGGGGCACTCTTCCTTTATTAGCAAATTTTTGTAGTATAATAAATTCCTAGCGTCTTAGCTAGCGGGAGGCACTCTAGGTGCTATCTCTTAGGAACAGGGTATAGGATAGGCTATCCTAAGTTCCCGTTATCTTTGCGGTAGAACGGTCTAGATTTACCTAACTGTCTAGAATTAGCTAGAAAGTTTCAGGGCCGAGAAGCTAGCGGTATCTCTCCCTTCGGCTAGCGTAGTCGGCCTATTATTGCGGTAATGGAATCAAAGTAGCTAGGTATAAACTTAGGGGAGACAGATTAGGATCAATCCCGCTCCTAGAGAGCTCTTCGTATAAGTTAACTATATTTAGGGGCGTCGAAAATTAAGCGCTCGGTAGAGTTGTAGGCTCGGGAGGTAATCTAGTTATCGACTAGATAACACCTATAACTGAATAGCTACTACAATCGTTATATAGGTAAGTAGTATAGTCTATAAACGGTAGGGAAGTAAGTTTTCGATTTTTCCTTAGAACGGTAGTCTCGAAAGTCGTATATATTGCAACGCTAGTTTCTCTCCGCTACTAAGGTCTTGCCTAGGCTAGGTTATACCTATTAAGGGAGGATATAGGTATAAACATAGGTTATAGGCACCTACTACCGGCGAGATCTTCTCCTAACTTCCTTCCGTATAAAGCGTAATCGCTAATTAGTGTTACCTGCCTATATAGATTGTAGACGTTGCCTTAGGCACTAAATCTAGGTAGCTTCTAATAGGTAGTCTATAGGTAATTAGATAGGTAAACCGATAGGTAAACCTAGCGCTATTAAAGCCGCCGGAATTCTCTCTCTCTAATATATTAAGATATCTCCTTTCTCTAAGGTTTCCTCTAAGGCTTATAATAGCCGGAATCTAGTAAGGCATAAGGCAATTGTAGCTTTACTCCGGGAGGTCTTAGATAGAGGGGTTTTTACTCCCTTAAGTAGTACTAGCGATAGTCTCTAGGCGTTTCCTCTACTAGCTATCTAGAGTGCCTTTGTCGTCTCGAATATAGGTCCGTTACTGCCGCCGACAATTATAGGTATTACCTATCCGTTTCCTACTAGGTCCTACTTTGTACTAAGTAGGTCGCAATCCTAGCGTACTTCGGTGTCGCGCTTATAATAGGGATTACCTATCGATTTCTAACTAAGAGTCGCCCTGCGTCGGTTACTAGAAAGGGAGATTTATACAGGTCACGCGTATAGGGCATAAGTCGTGGTAGGTGATGTCTGTGTCTAAGTCTACTTATATAGGTGGCTCATAGGTGATTTGACAGGTGGCACCTGTGACAGGTGGCACCTGCCATCTCTATAGAGCAAGAGCCCATGGTTGTTTACAGGCTTCTCCGCAGAGATCTTCTGTATCCTTCACATGCGAATTTTCCAGTGCCGCGCTACGCTCAGGTTCACATGGCCGTCTTGTTCAAGCGTGGGGAGCTGTGGTGATGTATCGACACGGTCCAAAAGACGATACTGGTGCAGACTCACGAGCCTTGTTGCCGTTCTTAGCAACCGAGAGTTTCGTGAGTCACTGATATGACTGCCGAGACGCTACATGGACAGCCGGTATTGGAGCGGGCAATGTTGGCCTTGTTCATCCACAAGTAGTCGCCTTGGGATATAATGTGGACGGGTGTTTTGCAAAACTTACCATCATTGGCTGAAATCCTCGGAGTCACTCGCTCATATCATGTTCAGATTGTTTCATCCGACTGCCATATATCCGTTGCGCAGCAGATGCCTGTCTTTATTGCTGAACGCATTCGCGATATCGTCATTGCAAATGAATGCAGCCTCACGATAGCACTTTTCCGCGGAAGACGTTCATTTAACTGCAAGGCACTCGTGATCGGCCACTTTGCTGCATAGGACTCCCCTGCTTCTTTCTTCAGCCTCGATTTTGACTCCAAGGACTGACTTTCAGATCCGAGATCTCGCGCTTGAAGAAGAGTTGGAAAGCGCCGAGATCGAGGTCGGTCATTCCCTGGAGAGCAGGTTGTAAGAAAATATGAGACAGCATCACCGAGAGCGATACCGGTATCTTCAGCATTGCTCGGTACATACGAATTGGGTGTTTCTATCCGGTCGATCACTGTGTGCATACGCTCGCCAGTTCAGGAACATTTGGTGTAAGTGTAGTCGTTGAGCTGAAGAAGAGCCTCCATCTTGCACGTGCATCTCAATTCGTGTGACGTAGTATGGATCTCCCGCATTGCGAGAGCACGGTAGATGCGCGCATGTAAGCAGATCTATGTTCTTGTAACAACGACATCTAGCTTCACTGCTCAGACGACATATAATATAATGCCAGTAGCAGTCGTGACAGGCGCGAACAGTGGCATTGGCCACGCGTTTGCCAACATTCTCATCAGCGAAGTACGAGCCACAAGCAGCATCAATACCAACAACGGAGACTGACATCAAGGCAGGGCTATGAAGTGCATGTACGATCTACCCCTTCCTCGACACGACCGAAGACATAAGAGCTGATCACGTATCCAGGCCGCCGACATAAACGTGGGCGAGAAGCTACAAGGTCTCCAATGCAGACTCCACCGTAAGCAACCCACAACCATCAACAAAGCAGTCACCTCGTACCGTACTAACAACATCCAGGTCTCGACGTAACCCAACCCGAATCAATCGCAGGCTTCGCAACCCAACTCGCCGGAAAGCCCGTCGACGTGCTCCTGAACGTAGCCGGCATAATGGCCAGCCAAGGCACCGACGAACTCACAACCATCACCAAAGAAACCCTAACCAAAATCTTCGAAGTCAACGCCTTCGGCCCCCTCCTCCTAACCCAAGCCCTCCTGAAAAACCTCCTCGAATCCTCAAACCCACGAGTCGGGATTGTGAGTAGTCGAGTCGGAAGCATGGGGGATAATAGCACGGGAGGAAACTATGCGTACCGAGCTTCGAAAGCTGCGGTGAACAGTTTTGGGAAGAGTTTGGCGGTGGAGTTGCAGGGGAAGAATGTTGTGGTGAGTTTGTTGCACCCGGGGATTGTGAGGACGGGGCTGAATCCTGATACGCAACCTGGACCGGAGACGGTTGAGCCTGAGGAGGCGGCGATGAAGTTGTGGGGGGTGTTTTTGTCGAAGTCGTTGGAGGAGACGGGCAAGTTTTGGCATAGAGAGGGATATGAGTTGCCGTGGTAAGAGCTGGGAGACGCCATCGTGGAAGGCGGAGAATTGGATTTTGTGGTAGAGGAGCGAGAGCTCGATTATGTGAGACGAGCTGCATATCTTGTATGCAGAAAAACGGATGGGGAACAGCTGTAGAAGAATTCTCAGAGATTGGAGAACAAACAGCTACGAGGAAAGGCTATCCAACAAAACCAGATGTCGAGATGCTGTAGATGAAGAACGGTATCGAATATGAGAAATGAAACACATATAAACGCAGACACGGTGTTCATCCCGCCTCATTGAATGGGCAGAGAGTGGTTGTTGTTGTTGCAGGACGGCAGGTCATGAAGTCGAGGCACCATGCTTGCATTTTAGCTTACTTAGATGCCGGACGACAGCAGGACGACTCTGTCCAGACATTCTCCCTTTTAAATCGTCATCATGCGCACTACTGACCCGCGGTCGTCAAAGAAAGACGTTATAGAACTCCTCCTGAGCTGATCCTAGACCCTCTCTGGTTTTGCCTCAGGCTGCTGGGGATTGATCGACTTCACCTCATGAATTTACAATTGCAAATTTCGTACAAAGCGCTGGGCATTTGACGAATGCGCTAGTAATACACTCTACCGTGCAGGTTTGGGGTATAGAGCAGTGAATGATGATCTGAGCAATCTCGAAGCAAGCAGGCAGCAATATTCCTCCTCCCAATCAAGCCAACTGCGCCTCACTCCGACTGCGTCCACTATACTCGCAGCGTCCATTTGATCGGTGCCAATCCCTTCAGGACCCACCGGGAGTGATTCGTTGCAGCTCATTCCAGTCAATACACACGGCTTTCACCGAGAATGCATTTCATGGATATTTTGGTTCTCCTCCAAAATTTTGGCAACATCACAGTGAACATATTCCCATATATGGTCGTGAGCGCTCACTTTTGAGCTTTCCCGAATCTGGCTCTCCATGCCTCCATTTGACATCTGGTGGGCTGGTTCCTGCGATGGAGCATGATTCTGTTCTCGAAATCGAGTAGGCCTTTCCCGACGTCTCTCCTAGCTTCCGTTTTCCATGGGCTGTTCCGCCGCTTGTAGCTGCTCGGAAGCTGCTTGGGCCTGATATTTGACGTGAAGTTGCGAAATCGTGTTCTCAAGGTTGCGTAATCGTTCTTCCTTAAAGCTATCATTCGCCTCGAGCTCCAAAATGCGCGTCTTCAGGCTTTCATTTTCGAGTCGCAGGCGCTTGATCTCCTGGTCGGCAGACGCTTGCTCCAGAAGCGCTGGCAAACTGTCTTTATGATACTTGACGTCAACAGAAGACATTAGTGCCGGGTCGTGTACAGCCCCAAGAGATGCTGGAGTCTCAGCCTCGTCAGCGCCGGGAGCGACCTCTGTGCTTTGCGACTGCATGTTCTGCATTGCTGGATCCTCTGAGCTTTCTACTTTCGCATTGTGCACGCGTCGTAGGTGTTCGTTCAGGTTCTCCTTTCGTGTGAAGCCTTTGCCGCTATGTCGCTTGCAATCCGGATGAGGACACATTAATTGAGCTTTGGGTCCGCCGTGTTTGCCATGGACTTCTCGTTCGTGTCGCAAGAGGCCACCGCTGTATGTAAAGCCCTGTAGTTTGGCACACGAAGGATGTGGACAGCGATATGGACGATCGTGCTTGTCCATGTGCTTACTGCGATGACGTTAGCTTTTCACGCACCCCGAAATGGCTGGTGACAGACTCCGAGAGGTGGTTTGTCCATCTCAAGGGGTTGAAGATGCAATACTGACCCCCATTCGCATTTCCGATCAAAGCTCTGATCTGTGCACTCTTCGGAATAGGTGCAAATGTACTTCCCCATGGCGTTGACTGGCGGATCGCCTCGCTTGAATGCGCGCGAACCACGAGGTGAAAATTCGCCTCGTGGCGATGCTTCTGCGACTCCTTGAGACGCTACAGACGGTGCGCGCGCAGGCATGGGCACCTCGCTCTGCATCGTCATCGGCTCCTGCTGCGACATCATACTGTGCGACCGCTTTCTTGATTGCGGTTCGCCCATGGTGGTTGTGTCGTCCGGTGAGGCCTGCGCGCTGATGGGTGAAGGCGGCACCTGCATAGTCTCTGTTTCTTGATGCATGTGTGATTTTTGACTTGGGCCGAGATGTGCTGGGAAGTAAGTGTTATTATTATTGTGGCAAAGTGACGCGTGGGCCTGAGGCGCAAGACGACTCTGCGCCAGGCAATTGTGCTGGGCGCGCCCGGGAAGGTCGGTTGCGGAGAGTCGAATGGACGGTGTCAGATTTCGTGGCAGGAGGCTCTGTGCCCTCGCAGAGTCATCCAGGCTCCGGAAAGCCGACGCGTGCTCGTCCCAGGCAGGATAATAGCCAGAATCAGATGGATCGTATAGCAGAGAATCCTGAGGCAGCGACGAACCGAAATAGTTGGCAAGGTCACCTGCGTTGTGCTGCGGAGCTGGAGCTGGAGCGCTTTGTGCAGCGGCGGCGGAGGCAGCGAACGAGACAGGCGCACTACGGTCAAATGACGCACGGGTCGGGAGCGGGAGAGAGGTTATCGGAGATCTGGATGCCCGAGATGATACGTCACGGCTATTGGTCCGGGCTGGAGACATGGCATCCGCAAGTCCTGCTTTCGCACTCATCATCAGCATCTGACCACTCTGATGACGATAAAATCAGGCACAGCCACAGGCAGCAGGCAGCGACTCACCGTCAAAAGGCGACCGTGACTGGCGCTGCTGGCGGCGGAATCCGGGAATATACGCGCCGTACTGGTCGACGATCTGCTGCGGCACGATGACTGCACCATACCCATCCACCATATTTCCCTCCGAGTCGAAAAGCGCCTTGCTTTTATTCGTGTTATGGCCGCGGTCGTAGAACATCCGGCACACGCCCCACAGAACCGCTAGACTGGGACGAATCGCCCAAGGCCAGGTGGTGTTCAGTGGATGTTTTGCGTTGGGATACTCAAGCAGTAACTCATCACAGTGAATATCCCTGTTCTTCTGGCAATCTTTAACGTGCTGCAGAAGTCCCTCGATGCAACGCTCGATGATCGAGGTGGTCAGCCGATGCTGTAGGCACAGCAGAAGGTGAATGAGATTGGCAATGAAGGACTCGTGAAAGCCAGCCTCGTAGATCTCGTCCCCTGTGCACAGGCGCAGAACGCTGTAGGCACGAGGATGTCGAGCAAGTCGTTCACGTGGACGAGAAGATGCGTGAGCTGCCTGAGAGAAAGCTGATCAACAGCAAACGCGTAGCGCCTGGCGAGGAACTGCTTGTGACTCTTGGCGACGTCTAGGATCCTGCTGCTGGGGACAGATTGGTCGAGCTGTTCAAGAAGCCTGAGTGCTGTCAGTATGAGCACCTGGCCTGGCCTGCACTGCACTGCATTCTCACATACTTTGCGATTCGGTCAGATGGCTGTTCACGTGGTCCCAGGGAAGTGGTGATGACGGCGCCGTCACTTTCCCTGAACACTCGATTCCTGGACGCTGTTTTGGAGCGCCACCAGACTGGTCGCCGACTAAGTTCGCAATTGATCTGCGCAAACGAGTGCTTTTCGAAGTCTTGGCAAGCTTCTTTGTTCTGCGCTGCGGCTTCCTCGTTTGTTCGGACACGCGTTCTCAACTTGAGTCGTTTTCGAAATGAAGCGGTCAGCTGAAGCACCTTGAATGTGACGTATATCGATGGTGGTGCTGTAGTCCCGGAAAGGGACGAATGCACATTAGGCGGAAGAGTTAGAGATGGCGATGTTTCCAAAGATAATATGGCGAGTTGCGACTGCATCTGAGCCATGCAAACATCAACCACGTCTGAGAGACGGACTATAGTAAAGAGTAACACATGGCGAGGGCTATGCACAATGGTTGATGGCTATGGAGCAGATTATGACCTGCACAGGTGCCTGGCGGGTTCCACGGCGGCCTCTGTTGATATATAGCTTCGTTCATATACTGGCGCTGGACCTCGCTTTGGCTGCTGCGAGGATGCCTGTGCCTGTGCCTGTGCCTGTGCCTGATCTTGAGCTGCTGGCGATTGGCTGTGAGCTTTCCTTGTCACACAGAGTACCCCAAGCCTCCAACCGCAGTGGTTATCGCAAACTCGGCGCAGCAGGCGGCATCCCGAGGCTGTGCTGGGCTTTGCTGCTGGCGGCGTACTTGATATCAACACTTTCCAGTTCAGAAATTGCGACAACAACTCATCAATGACGCAATGATCTTTCAGATTGTAGAACGTGACTACAAGCCTGTGATAATATGAAAAGTGGCTAGCCGACTTCAGCAGAGGAAGCAGGCGCAGCATAACACAGACCCCACAACGTTGAACCTAGCGCCAGCTGAAGTGAGTGAGTCTTTCCAAAAAAGACTACATACCGCAAATGCCAAAAAATGAATGTATGATGTTGCTGCGGACGCTGCAACTCGTTAGAGTTATATTCGTGAAGAAAGAACATCTGGAACAACCTACCGGTTCGAACGCGCGCCTCTCTCGAGAGTAGAGTTTCAAGTTCAGACTTAAATCTACCGCCTTAGACCACTCGGCCACCGCAGCGATACTTGAATCAGAGCGGGAGTACCCGCGCCGAATATATAGACTAGCTCTTGGCAATGCTGAAGTCCCCATCACCCTCTCCGACAGGTTCTACTTCAAAACTTCATCGGACTATCACACCAAGATATGAGATGCCCTAGAAGTTGATCCCATATCGTCACCCCCACGACATTGCAGTGGTGCTGCTCAAATCTTGATCGGATCGTATCCTTCTCTGCCGACACTCAGCTCCTTCGACTGCATGTACGACTATGTGGGGAGACCAGATCCACCGACATGGCTTCTTCGACCAGAATAGCATTTCGAGAGAGAAAGTGTTGTGGAAGGACTTTGATCTTGGCCGATGAGATATATTAAAAAAAAAAGGAGATAGATCAATCTCAAGAAACAGATCAACGAAAAATTTGCATACTATGTATACCAACTCCCAACCTCTTCTCCAAATCAATCCACAACCAACCTATCGAATCAGAATGAACTTGATCGTGCGTCGCTCGAGAAGAAATTCAAAAAGATAATAACTAAAACAGTCCTACAATAACATCTATACGCACCAGACAACCACCCTCCTCACCCTCACCCTCGCCGACCCCCGCCCCTTCAAAAATAAACTGCTCCCCCTCCTCCAGCACAACCTTCCTAGCCCCCAAAGGAGCGGGCTCCACCTTCATCGACCTGATAAAAAAACGACCAACACTCACTCTCCAAAAGAAAAAAAAAACATCGGCTACCAACGCAATGAAAAACGGCGCACTTTTATGCGCCGCAGTGATCGGCAAATGTGAAGGTGGATGCGGATGGTCGGCTTCCGGGGGAGAAATCCGGCCCATGTTGAGGAAGGGTTTCGAGGAGTGTGTGGAGAGTGGGAGAGAATGATGCGGGGGAGAATAAGTTCGCGGGCGTCTTTGGTGGAGAATGATTGGTATTCTGTGCGTATTCATAATGGGCCTTGTCCTGGGACTTTTGGGGTTGAGGGGACCGCGCCGGTGTTTGTTTGAGGGAAGCTGGATGATAGGGAGGGAGGGAGGGAAGAGAGAAAGTGCCCGGGAGTGAGTATTGACTTTTTTTTTTGGTGGGTGATTGAGGAACGGTTTGAGTGGGAAGTGGTTGGTTCTTCGGGATGGTTGATAGGTGTCAACGAAGAAGTCAAGTTTTGAAAAACCGCAACTTTGGTTCACCTCTGATGGATTTTTTTTTTGCCTGGCCGTCTTCGCCCTCTTTCTCGTTGACGCTTTTTCTTATCGTCAGTCGTGAAAGCGATTCCAGAGCATCCTCATCTCCCACAACGAGACCAACCGTCTGCAGAACCAGCAGGTTACTCGACGATGATTAGGCAATTGCGTTCGATACGGCTTTCGACTCAACGCCATTGTCGTCGAGACCCAGTAATTGTACGGTCAATCTGTCCTGAAGCCGGAAACCGTATCGCTCGATGAACCGTGGATCTTACCATGCCTAATTCTCGCTGGCAAATCCTCTCGAAAAACCTCCATCTCAGCCGCAAGGTGTTCCGTCACAAGGGCATTCTCTTCGGCATCGTCCATAGCATAGTCCATGATTTCGTCCAAGATTTCAGCAGACTCGGAACTAAAGCTGTCCTCAGAATCTTCGCCGCTCATGCTTGTGCTTGTGCTTTCAGGAAATGTTTCGTCCGTCGGTGGTAGCGCTGCGGAGCCTTCTATAGGTTTCTCGGGATGAACTACGTCGAGATGAGAAGCAGTATGGATCGTTCGGGTGCCAAATAGCCAGTTCCAAGTTCTTCGGAGCGACATTGCGATGTGCATGTGTTGTTGCATTTGAATGACTGGCGATGCGCGCGTCGAGAGAGATGGTCAGATTGCTAGCGATCTGTGAGATGCTCCGGGAGTGGTAAACGAAGATTGAGAACCAGGCATTCGCCGCTCCTTTTATCCATAGGCACATAGCACTTGATTGACCTGAAATGCCGCGGAGCATTCACATGGCAAAGGGTGAGACAAACACAGCATGTCTCTACTGGCTGCTATCTCGTGCAAGAAAACTCAAGTTGTTTCAAGACAAATGGTCTCTGATGCGGCTTCGACTCAGACTCAGATAAATCATCTAACCAAGTCGAATCTTTCACGAAGGTATCGCGGAATCAGCGTCATCGAACCGGATCCCGAAGTGCAGTGTAGTCTATGTCGTTCTAGTAACAATGTCATCTTGGCATTACTATTCCTCTTCTTCGGTACCCTCGTCAAGAGCAAGCCATGCACTCCTGCACTTGACCGCTTCGTGTCTCACGCTTCGTTTGCCGTCATCCAGGCATCCCAGCAGCTTCTTCACGACCGGCCTTCGGTAAGGCACAACGGCTTCCCGCTTCAATTGGCGAGGCACCAATGATAAGCATTGGAGTGCTTTCGCTCTGACTTTGGCCTGGTTTCCTGGCGTGGATGTGGAGTTCAGTAACCTCGTAATGAGTGACGCAGAGTGCTCTTCCGCAATTTGAGCATCATGCATGAGAAGAGATTCAAATATAGTCAGAGTCGAATACTTGACTTCTTGATCTGCCGCGTCATTGAGATCCAAGCTCTGGAGGAGCGAGGGAGCCAGAGAAGGCAGTGACGATTCCATGAGTGCGTATGGCAGCCATCGCAGAATTCCAGACATCGCTATCAGATAGTTCGGCTTGACTGACGGTTCAGCTGTCTTTACGTTTTCGATCATAGCCGGTATCGTGTGACCGAAAGTCTTCTGCTTGTACAGGCCAGACACCGTGCAGTGGTTCTCCTTGGTCAGAATATCATCCGGAGCCAAGAGTCCCGCGAACCTTCGCGCGAATGACCTATCGGTGACTGCAAGGTTTTGGAGAAGGAGTTGCAAGTACTTCGAAGTGAGGGCACCGGATCGACCTTGAATCAAAAGAGCTTTCACCACCGCGAAGGCCGCATCAAGCTTGTGCGTGGAATTGCCGCCACTAAGTAAGACAGATACTTCAAGCCCGGCATCTTCCAGCGCTTTATCGACAGCCTTTGGGTCGAAGAATTTGTTGACCAAAAGCGACACGTGGCGTAAAGCTATTGTGAAGCCGATAGGATCTGTATCTGAACCAAGAAGATAGGTAGATTGAGCTCGCAGCGATGAAAGCACATCGTTCGCTTCAGCGATTTCTGGCCGTATGGCGGCATAGTAATACAAAAGGAAAGGCGCAAATGCTCTGAGCTCATCTGTGCTTTTCCCAACACCATCTGTCGATGCTGACGACAGCCAGTCGACATTCTTGTTGTAGACTGTGCTTTGAAAGTGAGGTGTCTGTTGTCGAAGAATGATGTTCGTGATCCGTCCGATGATGTCTGTTGTCATGTCGTCACGTTGCGATGGCAATGCTTCACGGACCTGCTGAATCAAGGGTTGGGCGTAATCGGTAAAGTATGAGCTGCGCAAGACTCCGTCTTCCAGAAGCGGTACGCCATTTGTGAAACAGTATAGTAGTGCCAGGAGAAGATCTTTCTGGTAGTGTTTGGGTGCATTCTGATATCTAGCGGCCTTCAGCTTGTTCATGATTCGAAGCGCGATCGTGTCAAACACTTGTTGTTCTCTACTCAGCTGGGCGAAGGCCTCCAGCACAGGCCCGTATGTCTTTCGGTCCTCAGCAAAGTCCGGCAGCTGGACCATGAACGCAGGCACAGCTTGGCTTCGTATGGAGTCAGGAAGAGAGCGTGCAATTTCTGTGAGACTCTTGATCGCTTCATCCTTGATGTCGCCATGGCCTTCGATGCGCTCATGAAGCACAACATCCACGATGGCACCAACTGCAAGCCCAGTCTGCTCTTCAGACAACACTTTGCGAGCCCTTACAAGCTTGCTGAGGCCTTGCAAAGCTGTGAGCCGGAACGAGACCTCGGCAGAAGGTGCTTTTGCCAGTGCGTGGAGCATAGCTTGAGTTGCCTCACCGACAAAAGTGTGCAGAGACTCCGGGTGCACCTCTCCACCAGAATTCTGGATGTCCAGATACGCATCCACGAGATGATTGTATACCTCTAGGAGACCTCTCCTTTTCGCGATCGAGCTTGCACTTGAGTATAGGGAGAACAATGTAGGCAGGATGCCTTTGGCGATCTTATCGGCCACCAGTGAGCCTGTCTTGGCAATGGCGAGCAGTATGCGGCCGGCACCTTGCGATTGCTTGGTCGGCGCATCTTCCAGGTGCTCGTTGCACTCCTTGATGATTGGCCGAAGATAGGCATTGAGAGGTGCGTCGGCGTTCGCGAACTTCCGTGCTATGAGTGCCAACGCCTTGAGCGCCTCCTTTGCCAGATGCTCGTCTTGCACGGTGATGATTTCGAACTTTAACGCATCCCAAAGAGTCACGGAGTACAGATGAATGGTGTTCGTGGAATAGCCGGTGACGCATGCCTGAATTGCCACCAGGACATCCCTCTTGGTGTTGATCGATGTCGAATCCAGCTTGTCCAGTAACGCTGGAAAGGCGTATGGCGCAACATCCGAGGTGGCTGCTATGCAATCGCGCAATCGATCTTTCAGATCCTGCGCCGTGATGCCGTATGGATCATGCTCCGGCGGCCGAAATGTGATGGGAAAGTAGTTGAAGACGGCGTCGAACATGTCCTGTGCGTATCCGCCAAGCTCCCACTCGGCCATCGGCACGCGCACGAGCGAGAAGATGACCATCAGGTTTCGCGGGTCCTTTTCGCCGTCGAAATAGGAGATGAACGCGCGCAACCATTCCGGATCGTGCTCATGAAGCTGCTTCATGTGCGGGCGGTAGCGGGCCACGAGCAGATCCAGGAGCTGGAGGATGGCATATCGGTCCGTCTGCAATGGGAACTGTCGGAGGGGATGGGTGTGGCTCACGAAGGTGGTCATTGCCCTCTGTGCCGTTTCCGCATCCCACTTGCCCAATTTCTCGAGAGCGAGCAGCGCTCTGGCGGAGGCCCCGCTGCCTTCCACGTCGCCTTCCATACGGCCAAGCACAAAGCCCGTCAGCAGCCGTCGCTCCTGCAGGGCAAGCGCTCTGGGTGGCACTTTCTCCAGCACGTCTGCCAGGTAGGCGACCGACTTCGCACGCATGACTGCATCGCCTTCGTCGTTGATGTATGCTCCCACGCTCGCAATCACATCCGACAGTTTCACCTGCCGCGTCTCCAGTTTGTTCGCGCTCTGCTGCGCGATCTGCTGCGCCGCCGCCTTGTTCGTGTCCACCTCCAAGAGGTAGAGTTGAATATCGGACATGGCGACATACCGGAGTGATGATCAAGTGCCATCAATGCAAGCTGCGCTTCGAAATTCTTACATCCGCGCAAATCAACGTCATCCAATTCGCGGAGCGCGAAAGTTCGCGTGGTGGGGTCCGGGTCTGCACTGTAGAGGTGTCTGTATACTGGCACCTCGCTAAATCTCGCTTAACTCGGTCCGTAGAGAATCCGAAATTGATGACGTTTTTGTGTTCCCGCCAAGACCCACGAATTTGTATGCGTTCGAGGCTTAATTTTGGGCTTCTCGGAATGTTTAGCACCTCGTCGCCTCCACCACTTTAGCAATATCGCTATAATGGAAGAACCAGCACCCGCTGGCGCTACCAAGGGCCATACTGACTTCAAGGCTCTTCGAGAAACGTTGTTCCTTGCTGAGAAGGACATACCATTGCCGTATGACGATTTCCTCGTTGGTATGAAGCTGATGTCCAATGTATATAGTCGCAACAAGGTTACGGAGGTGAAGCAGGATCGCGCTAGCGGTAGGTATGTATCCAAGGCATACTATCGCTGTATTGAGTCGAAACGGACGGCGGCGGACAAGAAGAAGAACGGTGCAGAAGGTGTTGCTGGAGGCCATCACAAACCCGAGTTTGCTGCCAATAACTATTGCAAGGTCAGCTTGGTGGTTGATATGTATCAAGACAGTGAGCAAGGCTCTCCTATTGATATTGTTATCAAGCGAACCGATTATCGCCATCAGCACACCCATACCCTCCAACAATGCGACGTACGGCGGTCGAACGACTATCTGTCGAGAACCTTCCACAGAACACACCAATCCGACCACCGCCTAATGCCGATATACAACAGTGGAATAGGCGCTTCAAGCTATACCATAATCCATGGACAGGCGCCATAGAGCAACACGATAAACCGCCACCATGGGCACCAAGTGATCAGATATTAGAAGAGCAGGCAGAGCGAGTGCGACAACAGCGACAGCGACAGTAAAGTAGATAGAGAGACAATTGAGGCAAGAGCGCGATAACAACACCTCCATTTTGCTATACCATTAATGGCTCACCAACACTTTGGCTTCATTCTGAAATGGTGCTGGCGGTGGCGACAGTAGGTGCTGTTGGTGCCAGCGGTGCCAGCGGTGCTACGCTATTCCCAAAGAAGAGCTGAAAATGGGTGCGTTTCGTCACAATTATAGGGAACCGCGTACTTCCGAAGGCACGTGCGGCCTTGGCGGTGCCAGAATACAGACACCCCACTGTAGCCCTCAGATCCCTGCACAGAGCCGCAGGCATGTGTGTGACACAGTAGCAAAATGGTGAGAGAAGACAGGATCACGACGCACGGTCAAAAGCTTCACTTGATCTTGATATGGGACACATATCAGCGAGAGTATTACCATGTACATGTACACATTCCTGCCCCAATAGACATTCGACACACCATGCATCTCTTGCCCGAACTGTGCTCAGAAGCCAAATGGATTTTGCGGCGCTGCTCATGTGGTCAGCTTCAATTCTTGCGCGAGCACAACATTCACTACACTTACTCGCTTTCGAAAGATTCGCTCTGCCGGTCGGCTGCGGCATCAAAGCTTTTGCCCCGCGCTGAACCCCGAATCTCACTGCTGGTGGAGGCCCGGTCTTTTGAGGAATCAATGGCGCAGCGACCGGCGCTTGCAAAGGTTGTGAAGGTCCGAATACTCCTCCAGTCTGCTGAGGTGGCAGCTGAGGTGCCAGCTGCGGTTGCGCCTGCGCCTGCGTTGCTTGAGCACCGAATCCATTCATGCCAGTAGGCTGTGAGATGTTGAAGGTGGTAGCTTGGAAGCCAGGCTGCTGTGCTGTGAACGAATTCGAGAGACCAGACGGCGTAGCTTGAAACTGTCCTCGTGGTGGATCAGCAAAAGGCGATCCAGTCTGCACTCCATTGACGAGCTGCTGCTGGTAGCCTGCCTGTCCGCCGCCACCGAGCTGTTGTTGGCCAAACTGCGATGGACCTTGAAATCCTGTGGGTTGTGGCTGCAGTGCAGGGTAGTTTTGCTGCATGGATTGAATGTTGTTCTGCGCTTGGTAGCCTTGATTGAAGCCTTGACCCTGTCCATAGCCCTGCTGTGGCTGGTATGCTGTTTGCTGAGGCTGCAGCTGTTGATACTGCTGTTGTTGCTGCAGAGCCGCCATGCTCTGGCCTGGTGGAGCCAGTTGAGGTTGATAGCCTGTCAACTGTGGCTGCAGAGGGGGCGGAGAAAATGAAGACTGTTGTTGTGGCGGGAAACCAGGAGCGGAAGCTGCACGTGGAGGAGGTGGCAGACCTAGCAGACCGAGAGTGCCTTGCTGTGCGGGAGGCGCCGGCCTCTGTCTCGGCATGGCGGTCTGTTGAGGCTGCAATTCCTGTTGCTGATATCCGGTCTGCATAGGCTGCATGTATTGTGGCTGATACCCGGCAGGCTGCGATTGCTGTTGTCGTGCCGCAGGTGCCAGAGCAGCAATCTTGTCGAAGATAGCTTGGTTCGCGCCCTGTGGTTGCTGGGGTTGAGCTGGAGGCGGAGACTGAACAGGCGCCGCAACAGGCGCTGGAGGCGGAGGCTGAGCTGCAGGGGTTGGCTGCAGAGGTGGTGCAGAAATTGACAGCGATGCGATGTCATCATTGATGAGCGGCTTTGGTGGCGACGGAGCTCGAGCAGGTGATGGTGTAGCTGCTGGAGCGGCAGCCGTCGTAGGCGTCTGCGACCTCGCAGGTTTGACATCCCAAGCATCGTCGTCAAATCCACCTGTCGCTTGCCTAGCAGGTGCAGATGTGAGTGGTGTGGCCTTTGCATCTGGCGCGGGCGATTTGGGTGCGGGACTCCCGCCTTGCTTGAATGCGTTTTCATCGACCACATCGTTGGTTTGCACGGGCGGAGCAGGTCTGCCTTTCCGAGTGTTGTTCTTCAGAACACCTCCAGGGCCTGCGAATAGACCTCCTTCGGTGCCATTGGCTTCGCCATCTTGGTTGGCTGGTGTCCGTCCATACTTGTTATCGAGGAATTTCATGACCCTCAGGATGTCACCTTCCTTCAGACCAAGTGTTCGCAAGAGTTGCCTGTCGATTTCGGGCAGAATTTCAGGACCCATATTGTCTCTCGAGAAAGACTGGGCGTAACGCTGGCAGACATGAGGGTCAATATTGCACTGCAAGAAGAAGTCGAACCAGTCGTATTCATCCTTCTGAACGCTAGCACCGGCACCTCGAGTACCATTCGCGCGTTCCTTGTCTTTCTGTCTCTGCGTGTTCCTGCGCTTGATGTCGGAGAGTGGCTTGTCTTCATCGAGGCTCGCACCAGTGGCCCGCTCAACGTATTCCAAGTCCTCAACAGCCATCTTCGCAACTGGGACAGCAATCTTAACTCCGTTCAGCTTGTGCAAATGGATCTTGCCTTCTCTGAGCCCGATGAACTCGGCCTCGACCTTGAAGGTGCCGCTTCGATCTGTCCATGTCCTGACCCTAGATTCGTTAGGCTTGCTCTTAGGCTGGTCCTTTGAACTTCGTTTATCGGACTTGCGCATAGACGTGCGTCGCGTATCACCAGCCAAACTGCTATGCCGTTCCGGCAGAGCTACGCCAGGTCCAACTTCTCCATCACGCTTCCTGTCTCTTGCGGCTTCTTTTGCTAATCGCTGCTCCTCAAGCCTGTTCTGCTCAACGGTGCTTCGTGCAGCATCCAAGCCCGTGATGCTTTCAGATCCGTGTGGTATGGTTCCAGTGATCTCAACGTATGAAGAAGGCACTACACCTTCCTTGCCGTTTTTCATGCGCCTCACCATCCACCATTCCTCGCTCTTTGAATCGTCCAGAATAATCACCTCGTCTCCAGCAGCCACAGTAACCTCGTCGTCCCCCTGTGCCATAAATTCATAAAGCATCTGTCCCTTTTTCATGCCTCCTGCGCCTGATCCTGCACTTGCTGCCAGTACCTCTCTCAAGCCTTCTTGCCTCACTGCTCCCGCAAGCTCACCCAGAGCAGAGACGATTTCCTGTGCTGTGTCTTTGGCCCCCGCATGAAAATCTATGCTCTTACTCGGACGTACAAGCTCCACAAATACGTGCTTCCCTTCAATGCTGTAATGCGCCAACTTTTCCGCGGTCCACTCTTTGCTCGGGCCATCTTTGCTTTTCTCTGGGCTGATCATGATTATGCCCTTTGCTAAATTGATGCCTAGCGTGGTGGGCATCTTCTTGTTCTTGCCCATGTGCGAGATCATCTCGTGAACGTTGTACAGGTGGAAGCCACCAGGCGAGCGCAGTGCATCATCTCCATTCTCCTCATCGTAGTGAGATGACACTACACGGTTATGAGGTGGAGAAGGCAATACACCTGGTGGCTCCGGCGAGCGCGGAGAAGCATACCGGGGCTGCACAGAAGATGGCGAGGCGGGCCCGTGCTGCGATGGAGGTCTTCGTGGCAGAGACGGAGCGGGTTCGTCGTCGCTTTCTTCGGGAGTGTACTGCGGACGTGTGGGCAATGGCGGAGAGGCGATTGCGCGGTCGGCGCTGTTTGAGGCAGCAGCTCCTCCTGTCCTTTGCGCAATCAAGCCAGCGATCTGCGCTGCCGGATTACTTGCGGCAGGCTCAGGAGAGTATGCCGACTGCGAGCCGGGTGCTGGGTAGTCCTCCTCGCCCGGGATGGGCCCATGGTCCTCCGGCGGTCGTGACGGCAGGCTTGGTGGTGGGGGTGCCAGCTGACGAGCTGCTGGTGCTGATGCTGCCGCTGCCGTGGATGAAATACGCTCGAGATAGATGGCTGGCGCAAAACCATACTGGCCACGGCTGCCCACCAGCGTCCAGTCTGGATCGCTCGTGTCGTATACATGTAGCTGAGCACCTTCGGCAAAGCTCAGCTCCTCCTCCGTCTGTTGCGAGTAGTCGTACAGTGCCTTGGCCTGGTATGCTGGCTTGACGGGCTCGACATAGTTGTTGGGCACCAAGCCCTCGGGCTCATCTTCATCCTCCGAAGTTGCTTTCTTCTTGCACTTCCACCAGTCGTCCTCGCTGCTCTTCTCTAGCACCAGCAGGAGATCACCCTCCTTGATGTCCAACTCTTCGTCCGACTGCGCAGGATAGTCGTAGAGGGCGCGGACGACATCCTGGAAGGGCATGTTCAGATGCAATTGCGCTGGTGAAGCGCAGCAATGCGATCGGGCAAGGGCAAGACGGCAAACAGCGCAGATGCGCGCTGTGCAGGAGGTTGTGAAACGTAACGGTTCGCGAGCGCCGTGACTCGTGAGATTGCCTCAGCCTGCTTTGCTTTGGGAATAATGCGGATGCGGATTCTCTAGCATTACCTACGATATCCCCCTTTCCGCACGCTTAGAAGCCAGGTAGAGCTTTCCTTCCAGGCCGTCCAGGAGTTCGACAGCTGCCGCTCAATAATAATAATGGTAGAACTCTTTGCGCGATCAACAGCACCGTCGTGCAATAATGAGTGTGGTGGTAGAAACGTGCTGGAAGTTGCTCATCCTGGTAAATGGGGTGGCCGGCTTGCCATCATGGCGCCCACGCATGACATACCTCCTGCATCCGTATCGACACAGAGCGCGTGCAGTGGCTCCACTGTTTGCGCAGGAACATGGCATGCTCATCCGCATGAACAATCACCGACGCTCTCACATACGTCTCAAATACGCGAGTTATGCTACCTCTATCCGCCTTACCGTACCCAATGTCACAATACAAGAACTGCACGAACAAGAAGCAGCAGGCAACGCAACGCAACCGGGTATCAATCATCAAAAACACAATACAAGCAGAGCCCATTTCAGTGATGGCGGCCGAGAAACCTCGACAGCCTCGATGAGCTTGTCGAATTGCTGCCAGAAGTGCCAACAGTGCCAGAAGTGCTCACGCTCGTCCTCGATATGGCACTGTCTTGTCGCGGGCGAGTGTGTCTCTTAAGAGACGAGTAGTCTCTGGCCCGGGGAGGAGGCCTTCTATCGTCGATCAGAGCGCCGTGCTCCACAAGCAGTTGCACCACCTTCTCGCGATGCGGTGTCGATGGCTTCGAGGCTGCAAGATACAACGGCGTCCGAGATACCGAGTCCACGGCATTTACATCAGCCTTGTGCCGATGTTCAAGCAGAGCTCGCAGCACTTGCAGCTTTTCCGATTCTGCCGCATGATGAAGAGCTGTCTTTCCCGCTCGGTCGACAGAGTCTTTCAGCTCAGGGCAAGAGTCAAGCAGGTAGCCGGCCACCTCCGACCTGCCCTTGTCTACAGCATAATGCAACAGACTCCATTCGTCGCTGTCTTTGACTTCCAGCGTCGACTCTTCATGATGGAAGAAGACCTGTACCATGGTCTGGTCGCCAGCCAAAACGGCCTTGACTACTGGCGTATGCCCTTTCCGGTCTGGCAGCATTTCGGCGTCGTGGTCCAGCAAGCAACGAGCCATATCGTGGCGAGCACTCATCGCCGCGAGATGGAGCGCGGTCAGGCCGGTTTTGTTCTTCCCGTTTACGTCGGCACCAACTTCTGGGTCAAGCAACTTGTGAACCGTTCCTTGGTCCGACTGCTCGACAGCATGCATGAGCAACGTCTTGCCTTCCCTACATGTCTCAAGGTCGAGATCTCCTGCGGCCAACAAGCTCTTAATCTGATCGGCATCTCCGGACTTGATCGCTTCGACCAGAATGTCGTGCTTGTCCAAGATGCTGTACTCTTCCGGCTGCTGAGCATGGGCTGTTGAAATTCTCCTTATGCTGTCACTTGCCAACGATGAGCCCTCGACGAGCAATTTGTTCAGCTCGTTGGCTTCCACCGTCTTATCACGAGTCTCGAGGATCCGGACAAGAAGCTCGATACAGGCATTGTGCTGATCTGCTTCCTCGGCTGGCCTTCCGCGTTCACCAAACACCTTCCAGCGCCGATTGAAAGCTCGTTTCGCGTGTGTCTCGGCACTCTCGATATCATCTGTGGTGCTGCTAAGCTCGGAGCCGGAGTTCACTTTGTGGCGCTCAAAGTAAATTGATGCCAAAAGGTGGTTCTGCCTTGCTATCACAAGGCTGCTCTGATCATCTGCCTCATTTCCTCCACTTGTCGAGCCTGTTCTATCTCTAAGCAGGCCCATCACCTTCGTCACCGCATCGGCCCACTTTCTCTGCTTGGAGTACAAGAACGCCAGTTCTTCCTCCATCTCTGCTCGATTCTCGAACGGCACACCATAGTATGACTCTCTAGTCTGAGCATAGCGGATGGCGTGGTTCAAATTGATCTCGGCTTGGTTGAAGTGCTCGACTTCGCGTTCCTTACTGGCCCGTTCAGTGTAGGCGGCAATATACCTATCCAAGATTTCCTGCGGCAAGACGTCGTCGTCTTCTTCGGGTAGTTGAGCAGGTCTATCGATGTTAATTGGCTCAGGACCAGGGCTAGCAATTGCGCCAGGAGATGGTGCACGTATTGACTGCCTTCGAATCGATGGTGTGGTGATAGGAAGCGGCGAGTCGATCTGAAAACCACGCTGAAATCTCTCCGAGCGATCGTCAGGGAGCCACTCTGAGGTGTATCTTTCGTGGACATCTTCAGCTGCTCTTAGGCATTCCGTGAGTTTCTCAATGGCATCTTCGCTGACGTCTTCATAGGTTTCATCCAACGTTGCCCCAGCTGCGCGTTGTTCCTGGAATACAGAAAACTCGTGATGGGCTCTCATCAAATCGCTCAGCAGATTGTTCGCGTTACTGACCTGTGCACCAAGGGTCGACAGGGCCTTGAGGACTTCGTCATGATTAGCAGTAATGTTCGCGGATGTCCTGGTGTTGTCGAAGAACTGAAGAACCGCTAAATCCGTTGACAAGATCTGGATTCTTGCTTCGAGCTCATTGCTGATACGACTGATCGACGGATGCCTCAGGGCAAGCTTGATGCTGTCCAGCAGCGATCTCCCCGCCTTCTGCTGGTCTTTAGACGAACTGCCCAGCTTCACTTGAAGTTCCTCCACCGTCGTTTTGCAGGACTGGACTGTCTCATCAATCCTGGCAGCAACATCTGCATCGTTGCCTTGTGTTGACACCTCATGCTCATCCCGATGTTCAAGCACTTCCTGAACACCAATGAGGACCCCCCTCAGCCTCTTGATCCTCTCATTCAGATCGAAGGCAACCTTGTCAGCATCTTTAACTTTCTTCAGGAATACGCCAGCCTGATACGCGATCTTCAACAGATCGAGTACGGCCGCGACAGTCTGTAATTCTGCCATCAATGTCGTAAGGCATCCCAATCGTGAGTGGAAACAGTATGGATCGAAGCACAGCCAATGCAAGAGGGCATTGTAGAGTGGGAACTATTTCACTGCCTGCCTCTACTCTGGACCAGTCATGTGTAACGCTGTCACTTGACTTGAGGCCGCCTTCTAGGCTAGCGACCAAGCACGTTCCGAAAATAATGAGTGAATCCTTGCACACGCACTCGAAGGATGATCGTGCTTCGCCACGACACCACACTCGCTTCGCTTCGTCTCCCCGGAAAAAGGACTCCGAAATCCTTCATGTACCTTCACCCACAAGCCCCGCCAATCCCAGCTCGTTCTCCACACGCCATCGACCGCTACAGAGCTCGGATTCATGGTTCCTTGTATCTGTGCTGCATGAACATAGACCGGTCAGGCAATAACGACAGGCAGATATGTAAACGCCATTGTTTGACTGCATACTTGATGCACGAGGCATATTGTGTATTCGTGGAGGCTATGCAGCCGAGGCTGATTTGACACACCAAGACTGTTGGCGGAAGGTATTGCGGAAGCATTTCTTATTGCTTGTGGCGCTCCTTCATGCAAGAGAGACAAAGAACATGTCTCGTGAGCCCAGCTGCGCCTTGTATTGAGATAATCAGCACAACAGCCTTGGGGGCCAGAACTGCTTGATGCAAAAAGGATTGCGTATCCAACCTGGACTTCAAGGCTGGGGTGCTAGGCTAGACATACTCTCAGTGGTGGATGCCAGAATACGTTTCGTAGCCAGCGTACGCCTTACACTATGGCTGACTTGCAGGAAACTTCTGGGCCGCGCCGAAGGATTGGTGAAGGAGAGGACGCTGAGGTTAGTTTGATCCAAAATTCTCTGCCTTGAGCATAGCATGTCTAACAAGCGATCTAGTCCGCATTTGATGACGATTCAATCCTCGATGCACCAGATCACATCTTCGACGACAACGATGCTTGCTTGTAGGACATGGGTCATGCGTGAAGTGTACAAAGACTAATGTTTTCAGGATCGACAACCCTCTTATACGCTTGAAACCAGACGAGGTCGAACAGAAGTGCAGACAATTCGTCAAGAACTATGGTTTAAAAAATCAGGAGCAGATCTTCGTCAAGGCAATGCTCCCACTTCCAGACGCCATGTGGTCTTGCAGAACAGAGAACCCATCGCAACGAACGTCTTCATCCGCTAACAACAAACTATAGGCTGGAAAGATCCTTCGAGATCCAGAAGCATGGGAAAGTGTACCATCTCTAACCGACGAAGAGAAAGAAGCACTCGATAACGAAGTCCGGAACGGGTTTTGGAAGCAACCCAAAGATCTCCAGGTCACGATCGTCACTCTCTGTGTTGCAGCTGTGGTCCAAGGCTGGAACCAAACAGCAGCAAATGGCGCAAATCTGAACTGGCCACGACAACTGGGACTCAGCGTACCTGAAGGGTGCGATCCAACCGGTCGCGATGCCTGGATCTTTGCCATCGTCAATGCAGCGCCGTATTTCGCTGCAAGTCTTGTCGGCTGCTGGCTCTCGGATCCCTTCAATGAATATTTCCTTGGCCGGCGACCACCTATCTGCCTTTCCGGCCTGCTCATTCTGGCGTCCATGATCGGGAGTGCGCTTTGCGATACCTGGCGACAACTCCTCGCATGTCGTGTCATCCTTGGCATTGGCATGGGACTCAAGGCATCAGTCGTACCAGTTTTCGCAGCAGAGGTCGCACCCGCTCACATAAGAGGCAGTTTGGTGATGAACTGGCAGCTCATGGACGCCCTCGGCATATTTCTAGGCTTTACGGCCAATCTTGCCGTATCGCGGACAGGCGATGATGCATGGCGATGGCAGACTGCATCCTCAGTCCTGCCCACCATCGTCCTTCTCACACTCATCTTCGTCTGCTCCGATAGTCCAAGATTTCTCATGAAGCGCGGTCCGTTGAAATATGCGGCTGCGTACAAGACGCTCCTCAGCCTGCGTGGTCATCCTATCTTAGCCGCCAAAGAGCTCCTGTACACCCACTACCAAATGGAAGTCGAGAAACGCTTTGTGACGGGCAAGAAGACAGATGCGGAGATGGGAGCACATGTCGTCGAGGTGCCAGAACCTGTCGAGGAGAACAAAGGTCGTTTCCGCACGAGAATCCATCTCCGTTCTCGCGTTGCTCCTGCTCGATCTGTCAATTATTGGCAGAAACTCGGACAGCTTTTCAGCAACAAGCGCATTCGCAGAGCTACTGTTGCTGCTGTCGTGTGCATGATATCCCAGCAGCTTTGTGGAGTTAATGTTCTGGCATTGTACAGCTCGAATTTGTTCTGTGACAGTGAATCGGGGCAAAGCAATAACATCAATGCCGGAGCTTTCTTGACGCCACTCTTCCTCAGCTGGGGAGTCGGACTGATAAATTTTCTGTTCGCGTTTGTAAGTCAAATCATCTTCGAGTGCCAGGGATCGTACTGACTTTTCATATAGCCGGCCTATTGGCTCATTGATCGACGTGGCAGAAGATGGTTGCTTCTCATCGCCTTGCCATTCATGGCCTTGTCCATGATGGCCGCCGCTGTCAGCTACGCGATTCCATCGGGACACTCGGCGCACGTTCCAGTGATTGCTTTCTTCACATACCTGTTCATGATCTTCTATTCGTTCTCGATGGGACCGGTACCATTCACGCTGTAAGGATCAAATCGACAGCACTCGTCCGCAGTATTACTAACATCATGGTAGTTCGGCTGAAGTCTTTCCACTGGAGAACCGAGTCGTCGGCATGTCGTTCGCAGTCTTCTGTAACCTCTTCGGCCTTGGACTACTCACCCTCTTTGTTCCTATCATTACAGTCAACATCGGCCACGGAGGATTGCTGGGCATATTCGCAGGCTTGAACGTGGTCGCATTCGTGCTTGTGTTCTTCCTAGTCCGCGAGACATCAGGAGCCACGTTGGGAGCTGGAAGCCTGACTTTCATGAGTCTAGAAGAGTTGAATTATGTCTTTGGTGTTTCGAGCAAGAAGCATGCGATTTACCAGCTGAAAGAAGTTCTGCCGTGGATCTGGCGATACTATGCACGGAGAGATAGGAACTGTCCAGATTCGCCCCCACAGCTGTATTCATGGAATGACGCGAGGCAGACCAGGAAGACCGAAAGGACTGATTGAGTAGCTTTCCAAATCTGGTGTGTATCAGACCTTATACTTTCGCACCATTCACGCGCGGCGTGTTCTGCACGAGACGGAGCAGATTTCGCATCAGAACAACGATCGTGACCTTGCCGATAGCCGGGACATAGATTGATGCCTTTTCCTTGATGTCGGGGTTGAAGTTCTGACATAGTCAGCAGAGGTACCCTTCCCTTGAAAACACAATTCTCACCTTCTCACTCGAGAAATTTATGCAAACAGCGCCTTCCCTCACAAGATGTGTCGGGACCTTGTACTTCTCTCCAGGAACACCACTGATGACCACATCACTAATCGGCAAACAATTCTCCAAAGTCCAGCCTTCCATGTCCTTGACTTCATGCTTCTGCTTCCTGAGCCCGGAACCTCTGCTGAACTGCTGAATGTCGCTGATGTCCACACTGTACACTTCAGCGCCATCATTCGCCAGCAACGCAGCGAGAGGTCTCCCGACAACTTCACTCCGATTAATAACCGTGATTCGCTTCCCATGCAGACGCTTCCCATAGTCCAGGATCGGGTTGTAGATATTCAGGTACTCGAGGATTTTGACAATCGCCAGCGGTGTGCACGGGAGAATTGATTTTCTGGTGTTTTCGGGTGGGTCGAGGAATCTGATGTTTTGGTACATGTTGCTGATGAGTTGTGGTGAGAGGCCTTCCACGTCCTTGTATAAGCTGACTGTCCATTGAAGCGTGCGATCTCGCGGCGCGTCGAATACGGGATAGTAGACTATCATGCCTTCGATGTTGCTGTCGGTGTTGGCTTCGCGAATCTCATCTTCCAGCTGTTCGCGGTTGACTTCGCGCAGGGTGAAGTCGACGCCACTTTTGTCCAGATACAGTCAGTCAGTTGTGTGTGGGTACGAGGTCAGGCTCTTTGGTCCTTACTTCTCAGTGCAAGTTTTCTGCGTCCATTCCGCATATTTGCGGGCAGCTGGGTCCGCATTTGCGAGGAAGCCGTGAAGGCGTGGTGGATGGTCTAGGGCCTTGATGCCGGCAGTCACTTCTCCCAGAAGTTTTTTCGCAATAGCGGCGGACGGTATGACTTTGCATGAATGTGCCGACATTTTGAGTGTTGGGGGTGGGATGCAGGATGCTTGCGCTTAATCGAGTTGGAGATCTGGCTGGTTTCATGCGATTGGAGGATAAAATTCTGTCAGGAGTCATTCACCCATTTACTGTCTACAGAGTTCGTCGGCAATCCAGCCCTTCACTGCGGATTGTATGCACCCTCTTTCAAAGTTTCGGTGCTATTATCTATACCCTACAGAAAAGCCTCCGAGCCCTGCCACTACTGCTTGATCTAATAATAATGGCAGAAGCAGGTTATGCCTGTGTTAGGTTATAATTTTCATAACCAACTCTTTACCTCGAGGGTGAAGTTGAATGAACTTTGAAGTGTTGTTTTCCCGTATGCGACAGATATATCGTGCTTACGATCGCTGGTTTTGATAGACAGTCCATATCACAACCTGACCTCTACACTAGCAGTCAACATCGACATAGCAAGAACATTATGCGGTCTATACTCGCCTTCGTTGCTACTCTCGCTTTCGCATCAACCGCTTCGGCATATATCAATGGGGCTCTGTGTGATTGCTCACAGGTCCGACAATGCAGATCGTTGGGGTACTATGGATGTCTTCGTCTTACGACAGCAAGAGCATTTTGTGTTGATCAGACGAATGATCCAAAAGGCTGTGGTCATGACTGCCTTGCGGCCCACAACTATGACTATGACTTAGCCTATAAGATCACAAGGTGACTAGCGTGTCTGCGAATTGTCGACTAGTTGCTAATAATATTTAAGTTCTCTTAACAACGAACGATTCGACGACACATGTGCTTGCGCCCTTCATGATGCTAGCGGCTTCGTAGGCTCATGTCCAGGGTAAGCGGCAAACCACCCTCTGGCAGGTCTTCTCAACAACACGCGCGAGTCCGAGTGCGCCTGGAGTTGTGTGCAGGTTGATGCGGTATACGGGGTGTAACCAGATCTGTTCGGAATTCGAATTCAGCCAGTCAAGATTTCGAATCTTCAGAGGGGAGGGACGGTTGGCAATTTGGTCTCCGGTCGGTTTCCTGTATGCGGTTTACATACACCCTGTATTCGAGATATTGTCGCTTCAGAGCTCACTACATGATGGCGCATGATGCGATGGAACTTGGAAGCGAAGAGTGCACCGACTTGAAATTGATCCACACTTTGCAGTCACGTTCAGCAGCATCACGACCAGAGATATTGCTCCGCAAAGATCCCCATCATTTCGAGTCATTTTTCTTCTAGCTGTCACCGATCGGCCGCCAATGTCGCATGCAAGAGATGCGTACTGGCGGACCACACGCAGCAGCTGGGCGAACTCCGAACTCCGAGCCATGTCATTGGAGGCCATCTCTATTTCTGGGTTTACCGTTTACCGCAGAGCTTCAATTGATGACTGACCGTCTTCGATACAACGGTTACACCACCGAACGCTTCCGCGTCCATTCGAAAGCTTACGAGACTGAGCTCCGAGATGGATCCTTCGAGACTTCTCTGGCAATCTTGCCCTTAATCCACCATCTCGCTTGCCCGGTTGGGGTAGTGAAGTCCATGCTGACGATGGTGTGCGTCCGAGCCGCGTATTGCTGCTATGTAGTGTGATCAGGCAGCACACTGATGTCTCGGCGTTCGCTTAATGCTGATGACTGCTGATGGCTCATCGGTAGTAGCTAGGAAAAGTATATATGTGGCACAACTACATAGACCTGGATGTATGTGCCTTGTCTGACCATCGCGATCAACGAGAACCTCGAGCAAGTGGCTCACTGCCGAAAGCTGAAAGAGATCGGGGTGCTCACAAGAAGTTGGATCAAGACCATCTTCTCAGGTCGCAAGCCCAGGGAACAGAAGAAGTAGTAGATCTGTAAGTTGCGGCCCTGGTCTCCTGCTCGGTGGCTCCACGCTAATAGATTGCAAGGTCAACGGAAGAAGCCAAGTCAGATATCCTTGGACCAGACCGACATGTCGAGCCCATCAGATCAGTCCCTCTACACGGCTTCTACTAGAGCGGGTAGCACGTCGACTGCATCAACACAGACGCTAGTTGAGGCAGAGAAGAGGTCGTCCATCAGTCGAGCAATGGACAAGATACGGTCGAAAGTGACAGGGTCTGAACGACTATCAAGCGATATTTCTGAATCGGAGAAAGCCAAGGCAAAGGAAATTGAGAAGCAGAAAAGGAAGGAAGAGTATGAGAAACTCGCCATGGATTATCGCATAAAGTATGGCCTTCCTGGGGCCGGTGTATGGAATATTTGATGAGGACGACGAAGGACACCGCTGGCGTTGAGGAAGTCTGCCAGACCCGAGTCGCGTGAAAGCGAAGGGGTCGCGTTTAGAATATACCTTGTCTTTCCACCTTCTGATCCTGCTTTCCGTTCCCAGCCGGATGGCGCAAAGCTGTAGCTGGTAAACTCTAGATAGGTACCAATCGCTGCGCCTCAAGATGATGAGTCTTGTTATTATCCTCAGATGAAGCGTCCAAACGTCAGCAGTTTGCTGTGAAGGAATGGTCGCACACTTCGCACTGCCGCCACCAACTGTAGCAGGCGACTTGAAAGGTCTGAATGTCCCAAGGCTTCCAAGGGTAGCAATGAGCTGTCAGGTCCCGGATGCAGCCCATTCGCCGCGTTTCTGGAGTTGTCGTGGAGAGCTTGGGACTAAATTATAGTAGTGCTCCTGGAAATACTACGGAAGTCGCTTGATGGGGTGCTTTCAGAAGGTGCAGATCAGCTGCTTCCCTGATGAGTCTGACGAGGGACTGGTTCGTGGTATGCACGGACAGGGTGAGCACTGCAGGCGGATGTAAGAAGTTGCATTCCGAAGCAACTTTGTGCTGCAGTGACCATGGAAGTGGACGAAAAGCAGCACTTCACGTGATTGTCACGTGAGTGGAGCGGCCTGAGTGGCGGTGGTCAATGGGTTGAGGCCTTGAATACCTCGCGCTCAATTATCCATAATTGAGGTGTCTTATCCATAAGACGAGTGGGTCCACCATAAGACGCGTTGAATACCTATAATCCATTCAATTATAGGTCTTGTCTATAAGACAGTCCAATTATCTATAATCTACCTCTTTAGACAGGCTAATTTTAAAAGCAGCCCTTTAGTAAGAGAGCCTTGCTTTTATAATTAAACTGCTAAAGAACAGGCGCCTATTCTCGTACGGATCCATCTCCTTCCGGTTTAGTATAATATGTCTCGCTCTTTCTCGTAGTTGTCGTAGAAGTAGGTATTTTATAGAATATATAGTAGTAACGATAGAATAGCGATAATAGACGACTTCGAAGAAGCGGCGGAAGCGGACCTCGAGGACCTCGTACTATGCCTGTCGGTCTATATAGTACTTTAGATGCTTCGTTTGTTACTAAACGAGACGGAGCGACTACGCTATCGACCGAAGGCCTTCGAGGCCTTCGAGGCCTACGCCGACTACTTTAGCGCTATAGAAAATACAGTATTATCTACTATAGCAAGAGAGGCAAGGCAAAGGCAAGAGATAAGGTTACAATATAGCGCTAAGAAGGCGGAAATCGATAATTAGGCTTAAATACTTATAATTAGTATAAGATACGCTATAATAAGACGAGAACACGAGATTTACTATCTTATCGATAATTTAACACTTATCGATAATTTAACGCGAGGTATTTAAGGCCTAAGAACTTAGAGTGTGTGTCTAGGTGTTAGGGTCTATTACGTGCCTAATGCCTAAGGCTATAACTGCCGCACTTTATCTTTAGACTTTCCGTAGATAGTCCTTCTTCTAAATATATTAGTTACATTAAGTAGTTATAAGCCCCCTGCGTTTCTAATACGCATAACACGTTTAATACGTATTCTAATAGTTAATCCGACTGCTACGTAGACAGCGCTTATTACTAAAAATTACGCCGATACTAATACCGTCGCCGCCGCCGCTCTCGAGTATTCTAGTAGGTACTAGACTCGAGTCGGTTACTAACAGTGTTAGCTGTCCGCTATACTAGAACATAGGCGCGCCTATCGGCTACCTCTTAAAACAAGTCTATAGTCTCTTTCTATATCGCCGTCGCTATCCGTAATAGCTCCCCCTATAACCGCTAACGCTTATATAAGCAATATTCCTAAGCTAAAGAATAAGGAAAATTACCCGTTATAGTCTTATGCCGCTAAGGGTGCCCTTAAAGGCATATAGGTATAGCGCTATATCTAAGGGACCCGCCTAAAGCCTAATATTAAGTTGTCTTCTAAAACTTAGTTAGAGTTTAAAGACCGACAAGATAAATAGGAGGCAAAAGATTAATTAGCGCGTACGTAGATCTTTGCTAACTATATCGCCGAGGTTTAGCAGTCGTTACTTAGTCTCGCTATATCGTAGGAAGTATAGACTTACCTATATAAGAAATATACTAGTAAAGGTAGGTCTACTAAATTTATGCTCTACTAGGAATATATTACTCTTCGGTATAATAGCAAGGATATTAAGAAGTTCTATAATAAGTACAAGAAGAAGCTTAGTGCCTTAAAGGATACTAAATTAGCTATTAGCTAATACTAGGCTATCTATATATTTATTATATAGATCTCTCTATTCTACGAGGCTTTCGTATAGATACGCCGAGAGCAGATGCGCGCCTCCGAGTATACTATTAACGATAATACACTTAACAACATTATTAGCGCGTTGCTTAATAAGAATGTAGCTTAATTAAACTAGGCCTAATATAACGGCTTCTTTAGTCTTTAGCGCTAACTATAATAGTAAGGTAGTAATAGTAATAACAACGGTCGGGGTAACTCGAACCGTAGCAGTCGTAGTAGCCGTAGAAACAATAACAATAGTCGTAGTCGTAGTAGAAACAACTAGAATAGTCAAAATCGCGAGAAGTGCTTATACTATTAAGGCACTTACCCTTCCGACCGCTGCTATACTAAGTACTCTTACCTAAAGGAGGAAGACCGACTACGTCGTAAATAGCAGAAGGCTAAGAAGAAGGGGGTATAGCAGCAATAGCAGCAGCGTAGACTAACTGTATAGCAACAATAGCAACAACCGCTATCTAGTTAGAATAGTGCTTAGGGGCTATATACGGCTAATACTACCCTAGGGGTATTATTAGACCTAAGCTATAATTACGCCTTTATAGCTACAGTTACAGTAAGCGACCTAGTTTCTACGGCTCTTACTGCTAGCACTCGTACTACTAATTAGGTTGTCGACTTAGGTACTAGTATATATATAGTTAACGACCCTTTATTGCTTATTAAATATAAAGGCTGTTACATTCCTGTCCGGTTTAGTAGTAACACGAAGTACGCTACGATAGTTAGTATAGCTTAGACTAAGGTTGTTAATAAGCGTAGTATAAGTAGTATAAAGCTGTCTAATATACTATATGTTCCTAGTCTAGTAGCTAACCTTCTGTCTACTAAGAAGCTCGCCGATAAGGGTTGCTTCTACTATAATAACAAGCGTGTACTGTTTACGATAGTAGAGGGCAATAAGGTTACTATCGCTTAGACATACTGTAAGAATAGTCTCCCCTACCTCTATATACTAACCTCTAGTCCGGATAGCTAGGTTGTTACGCTTCTGTCGAAGAAGGGGGTACTAGCAGGTACGATAGAAGAGTAGCATCTACGATATAGCTACATTTATTACCGCAAGCTGTTACGAATAGAAGCTAAGGGTTAGATTGTTATTACTAATAACAAAACTAGCAACAAGAACGACTTCCGAAACTATATTGCCTATCGTATAGCTATGTTATATAAGGAATACAATCGGATACCGCGCGTACGCCTATCTACGATCTATTATATTATCTATATAGATATAGTAACTATTACTAACTCTAGTCTATTATAGGAGCGCTATTTTATACTGTTTATATACGCCAAGTTAGGCTATCGTTACGAGTATTATTAGCTAGTAACCGGCCCTACACCTATAGGCCAGTTTTAAGCCTATATAAGAGGCCTCCTTCTATATTGTAGATAGAGCATCAACCTCGTATAGCACATTGTTTATATTACACTTCTACAATGCCTATATTATAGGGCTCTAGTTATTAGCCTAAGCGACAGTCTCGTTATCCTATCTTACTAAACATAGCTACTTATATTACTATAGGTTATATTACCCTTAGTAGCCTATACTATTACTATAAGTAGTAGTAGTAGTGTTAGTTTCCGTCCTTTATTAGAGCCGAAGGTAGGGCTATCTCTTTATATCTAACAGGTTCGGGTATATTAAAGGTAGTCTCTAGGTACGAATAGCTATAATCGAAGCGAGGGTACGATAAGAGCCTACGATACGGACGATACCGAAGTATCTTAAGGGGCCGTTACGACAAGCAGAGAAACCTCTTAACGAGGGCATCGCTTTAACCCCGAAAAGCTGCAAACCCTTAGGACTGTTATAGCTTAGGGCCTAGTCTATAACTATAGCTAGCTTCTAAGGACTCGGCTCTAGGTCGAAGACCTATTTAGTACTACTTGCTCGAGATAAGCCCCGCCTAAGGAGGAGATAGACTAATTACCTATCGGCCTTGCTTAGTTTGCTAAGACTATCTATACGATAGCAATTTCTAGATTACAGATCGGATGCCTAGACAGTTCCCCTATTAACCGGGTAGATTGTTTCGGGATTCGCTGCCTCGTTCGGACAGTACTTAGCCTTCTACTAGAAAAAGAAGGTCCCCGCCCCCCCCTATCTAGCTAAAGGAGATACGAGCTAGTTTCTAGGATCTAGGTATAAATAGAGATTGTAGTCTCTCCCTCCGAGCGGCTTTCGTCTAATACTAAACTTAGCTCCTAGGGGTATATAGGCGACCCCTAGGAGGCTAAACTCTAATACTACCCCGGGGGTAATATTAGAAGAAAACAGCCTAGTATACTATTTTCTCGCATAGCAATATCGAAACAAACTAAACCTACAATATATACTAAAAACACTTTCCTATAGCATTTTATTTTAACTACTTTATAACAATCGAATAAGCTCTAGCGAAAGCGAGCATTACGAATTAGCGGAATCTTCGGAATCTAATAATCTACCGGACCCTATTAACGAAGAAATTAGGCGACGACTAGTTATTATAAGCGCTATCGAACTAGGGGCTATCGAGCCTTCTACGCCCGAGGCCCTCTACAATGTCGTTATAAAGATAATTTAAGGGTAAACTAACCTTCTCCGTTAGAACAGGCGTCGCCCGCTAGAGCTAGGAAGTAGTAGGAACCCTTTATTCGAAGGGTAGAACGCTACGGCGTACGTAGAACGCTTTAAGGACAACTTAGCCGAGTACGGACTCGAAGAGGAGTCGGACTAGTATAAGGTCCGGTCCCTTACGAGGACTACTATTACTAAGCTTTACCGAACCCTTAGAACCCTAGTTAGCTACCTAGAAAAGGACGATAAGTCTAATACCGACTAGGAGGTCTTTAAGTAGGCCTTTATAAGGGAGTATCGGGATCGCGATAGCCGTCGTATAAAAGGCAGTCGTACGTAGCTTAAGAACCTCTATATAGAGAGGCGCACCGAAGATAACGACCTAAAGGAGTACGTCCGCGAGTTTGTTAAGTTAGCGGACGGCATCGACTAGCAGGACCTCGAGAATTCTTAGAGAACGAGGCTACTCCTTAAAGGGTTGCCGTAGTCTATAGCTAAGCGTATCTTCCGTCGCTACAAGCTTAGCGAAGCTAATCCCGAGACCTTTAGGAAGTACAAAGAGGTCCTAGAGGCTATTAAGGACGACATTAACAGCTCCGCCGATATAAAGAAGTTTATTTACGGCGAGGACCGGAATAACCTAGCCTAGGTAAGAAACGATACCTCGGGAACTAGAGGGCCTAAGTTTCTTCCTAAATCGTAGAGTAGTCCTAGTACTGTAACTCCTACTATTACTAAGCATTCTTAGGACGTTGCGGACTTAGCTAAATCCCTAGCCTAGCTTAACCTTAATACGAAAGTACTATA